CCCATCTACCGACCCCCCCCCCCGCCCCCCGGCCTTCCCTTGGCTTGCATCCACTCTACTTGTTTCCACCCACCATTTGCAGATGCCTCTCTACAGACATATGGACCAAGATGATGAGTCATCTGTCATCCAGAATTCTTTTCTTGACCTTTGCACATTCAATCACCTTTAGCACACTCAGCAGGCACGTCCTCGGCAGAGTGTGTGCCCTGTAACATAAGGAGCTGAAGGCTGAACACAGAATGAAGCATTTCTAACACTCCTCACTTTGCCAAGTGGATTTATTCCAGAGCTTTAAAGGAAAATCACAACTGAAAAAGTGACCAGATGGGTCTTCAAGGAGAAAGATACAAACTAAATCAGCCATGATACTGACGCACTTCACTAAAAACAGGCCTGTGATGTAAAAGAACTTTAGTTATTTGCCCTGAGAGGAGAAGTTATGGCAAAAGCAAAGCACATAAAGCATTCCATAACTAAAACTGACTTTCAACTTCACATGGCTAAATATTTTTTAAATTATTTCTGTACTTAACACTTCATATAGTCACTAAGAAAACAAAAAAACAAAAAAAATGCAGGACTTTTTATAATGTAGGATAAATAATAATAACAAAATAGCATACCTATATGTCACTTATTATATGGCAAGCATTCTTTTAAGAACATTAATATATTCACTTCATCCTTACAAACCCTTTCCTAATCCCTGTTTTCCATGAGGAATAAAATGCCCACAGAGGTAAAATAATTTGCCCAAGGTCACACACTGGCAGTAAAATGGCAGAGCTGGGTTTCAAACAGGCAGTCTGGCACCTGAGTGAGGTTAGTGGTTATTACACTAACCACCTTTCCAAAGGAGTTTAATATAGATGATCCTTTTTTAAAACAAAGTTTTAAGTTTAGACTAAATCTACACAAGTTTGCTTTGTAAGGTGACAAGCTTTTCACAATTAAAGAATTTAAACCGGAGAAATTACAGTCAGGTGGTGGCAAAGCCAAAGTTTACCCATCATAGCAAACACCTACACACTGTGAAGGACTACCTGGTGTGAGTCAATGTATAGTACCAGGAGAAATTCAAGTGGCCCAGAGAAGAGTAAAGGAGGTGGTGACTGTCAACAAATAAAAAGCTCAAAGCTCCGCGGGCAATAAAAGCCAGGGGAGGGGGCACCTGGCTGGCTCAGTCAGTAGAGCATGCGGTGTCTTTATCTCAAGTTGTGAGTTCGAGCCCCACATTGGGTATATCTCTACACATTGGGTATAGAGATTACCTAAAAAATTAAAATCTTTAAGAAAGAAAAGAAAACCCCAGGGGTGTCTGGGTGGCTCAGTTGGTCAAGTGAGTCTGGCTCTTGATTTCAGCTCAGGTCTTGATCTCACACTCTTCTTGAATTAAAGCCCAGTATGAAGACTACTAGAAAGAAAAGAAAGAAAGAAAAGGAAGAAAAGGAAGGAAGAGAGAGGGAGCGAGGGAATGAGAAAAAAGAAAAAAAGAGAATGAGAAAAAAGAAAAAGAAAAAACCACAGGGCTGTCTGTAGTAGCTAACCTCACTCATAACTCTTGTCAATTTTCCTCTCTCAAATAGTGGGGGAAAGGGAGGAAGGCAAACCATGAGAGACTCTTGAATGCCGAGAACAAACTGAGGGCTGATGGGGGTGGGGGAGAGGGGAAGGAGGGTGATGGGCATGGAGGAGGGCACTTGTGGGAATGAGCACTGGTGTTATATGGAAACCAACTTGACAATAAACTACTTAAAAAAAATAAAATTTCCTCCCTCAATCCATTCTCCTGGATGGTGCCTCCTTTCCATCCTACTACCATTGCCCAAATTCAGGCCTTCAACATCCCATGGTCCAAATATTCCAACAGTCTCATATGTGGCATCTAGCTTCCACTTCCTCCCTGCCCCAGCACCTACTCTCTCCTCTGCTAACAGAACAGTCTTTCTGAAACACAAATCTGATCATGTTATGGCCCTGCTTGACAACTTTTCAATGGTCCTGGTAGCAAACAATTTCCAGTTCTACCATCTTTGTACAGAATCAAACCCCATCCACTCCAGAATTTCCCCTGCCTGCCTCTGCTTGCAGGCCCAGGAAAATACTAAGCTATGCCATCCTTCTCTTACCCAGTTCACATGCCCCTCTGCGGAGAACATCTGCCTTCCAACCCCCATTCACAAACCTGCAGAACCTCCATTCATCTCTTTTTCCATAAAGTTGTTTCAATATTTCCTCCCACCGCCAGAATATAATTTTCTTTTCTGTGTCTGCAGGGTACCACATACATATGCTTCTACTCTGCTATCAGTAACTACTATTTTACACACCTGATTCCCCTACTGTGATAGGAACAGTGTCTTAGCGTTTTATCAACAGCACCTAGTAGGGGGACCTGGGTGGCTCAGTCAGTTAAGTGTCCAACTTCAGCTCAGGTCATGATCTTACGGTTCATGGGTTCGAGCCCCGCGTCGGGCTCTGTGCTGACAGCTGGCTCAGGGCCTGGAGCTTGCTTCAGATTCTGTGTCTCCCTCTCTCTCTGACCCTCCCTTGCTCACGCTCTCTCTCTCTCTCAGAAATAAATAAAACATTTAAAAATTTTTATAAAAAACAAAAAACAGCACCTAGTAGTTTCTGACACACAAGAGCAGCTTTATTCGTTATTTCCTAATGAGTAAGAGCATGTCTTCCATACATAGGCCATTGTAGCCTCTCTTAGCCAGAGTTGTTATCTCGATCACCTGTTCCCTCTAGTCCCATGAGAACAGAGTTCCAAATTTTTAAATCCGAATTCTAGAAAGGCAGGATCTACTTTATAGTCAACTTTTCAGAATACCTACAAAGTTAGGAATATATGTTAAATAGTAGTTCACAATGAATGCTCCACAGAACAAATCCTGTAGGTTCGTGGTGGGTATTGGGAATGAAATGGGAGATTCTAAAATCAAATAAATTCAGAAAATGCCTCATGATGTCTCCTTCTGTGAAGAGTTAAATTGCATTGTGAAGAACTAAAGTGCATTATATTAAAGTTTCAATAAAGTCCTGAAGTAAAGAAAACATGTTTAACTTTGGCACTTACTACCTTTGAGCAGTTACCTAAAGCCTACTTTGCCTCAGTCTTCTCATCTATTAAATGGGAATAACAGTATCTACTTCTTATGGTATTGTAGGGATTCACTGAAACAATAACTATCAGGTGTTCCAAACAATGCTTGCACACAGTAAGTACTCAATAAATGCTAGCAATTTTTAATATTTAACTTGGCACATCTGTTTTCTTTTCTAGTCATTACTAACACTGCACACTACACACTTGAGAAACACTTTATACAATGTAAGGACCCCACCATACTAGTCATTTTGGAGATTCATGGCTCTAGACTTTAAGAGAAATATAGCCAATCTGATAGTTTAAATGTAGGCAATTCAACTGGCTTCTCTATGGCTTGCAAACATCAAGGTTTCAACTGTCACAACTTCCTAAAGCTTCCGTTTCACCAAATTAAGACAGGATTGACTGCCTGGTCTGAACTAAAAACCGCCCTGCAATGGAAAGGAGTTTCTTATACAGAATTCTCATTCTCTGCCAGTTTGTGTTCCTAGAAAGTAGCCATGTTCATCAAGTTTCTATTTGCGTTATACCCAGGAATCTTGCTATTCAAGAATAAGACAAATAATTCACCCAGTCCATTGTTTTCCTTTAATAATGGGCAAACTTAAAGTAGAAGATCCTTAATTTCAGCTTCATGGAGAACAAAATTGTGTAATATGTTATGTGTGAGCATCTGCATGTATTTTCTAGGTAAAATATCAAGGTCTTCATCAAGGGGCCCATTTACCTAAAAAGTTTAGGAACCACTAACAGAGGTTTGAAATAAGGTCCAGGTATTACTTATACATATGTAAAACAAAAATCAAACAGTATCAAAGAGTATATTTTCTTAATATCCTTTCAAAGATGGCTTATGTATATATTTCTACGTGGATATAGTAATACCACAGCATCCTTCCATGTTTACATAAATAATAGTATACGATATAGACTCTACCACAGCTAGCTGCTTTCACTCAACAGTGCATCTTAGAGATCTATCCATGCCAATACATAGGTACACTTATTTGGTTAACAGACATCCCTGTGATAGATACTTAGGTTGTTATCAGTGTCTTGCTAGTTACAAATAGTAATGAGAACAGACAACCTTGCCAATATACCTTTAGGAAGAAATCCAGCACGGAACTGCTGAATCAGAAATACAAAGAGTGCTGGGCTGCCTGGACGACTCAGTCAGTTAAATATCCAAATCCTGGTCTCAGCTCAGGTCATGATCTCACGGTTCCTGAGACCGAGCCCCCTGTTGGGCTCTGTGCTGACAGCTTGGAATGTGCTTGGGATTCTCTCTCTCTCTGCCTCTCTCTCCTGTTCTCCCCTACACCCTCGCATGCACATGCTCGCTCTTTCCCTTTCAAAATAAACAAAAATAAACTTAAAAAATAAAGTATAAAGATTGCTAAACTGCCCTCCAATGCCTGCCTGTTTTATACTCTCAACAATATTTATTTCCTGTACACTCAATAACAGATCTTCAGATTTTCTATTTCTGTTCATCTGAGAGGTGAAAAATGGTAACTCGTGGTATTAATTTGTGTGGCCTATTATGAATCAAAGAACCTCTGATTTAAGATGAGTTGTACTTATGACAACATAGTCATGGAAACAATGAGCACCATCGAAACTGAAATAGTAATGGGAATACAGTAAAGGTTTGCTTCAAGTCACTGGCTCCAGTCAAGTCAAAGAGATGGTAGTCTGGAGACAGAGAAATGAAAAGATTTTATCACAGTGAGTTTCTATCATGTGGCCAAATTGGAATATGCCTAAATAAATGACTGAAAGCTTCTAAGAAAAGGCATTTTGCAATGTGTCAAAAATTAAGGGAGTGTCAATAACCAAGTATTCACAGAAATCCAGCTTACCCACAAGTTCAACTCACCATCTAGTAGCCAGTGCTGGCTGCGCCTATTTTCCAGCTCCGACATCATTAGGCGTGTGATCACGTGATCTGGAACCAAAAGACCTTTCTCTATGTACTGCTTGGCCATATCACCAACTTCTATTAAGAAAAACAGGAAAAAGAGACACTCAAAAAAGCTTCAAAAAAAGAAAAGCTTATGAACTCTTTCTGCCTTCTCTCCCATTCCTCCCTATTGGTATGAGGGGAAAGTTATGAGGGGAAAGGGTAGATGTTTTGGGGGTGATTTTTTAAATACTGGTTTCAATAATGGTAGCCTTGTCTCCCAAAGAATTATAAAAGCAGGTTTTGAAGATAAATAAGAAATACACAAACAGAAATAAAAATAAAAGAGTATTTCCATAAATTAGGCAGAGAAGATAAAAACAGGGAACAAAGTTGGAGTCCAGAGGGAGGTTTATTCGCGAAAGGCCGGGACAGAAGTCCTGGAATTTCCCAGAGGTGAGAGGTGCAAAGTGGACACTGAGCCTCCCAAAGGTTTACGACAGCAAGGACGTGTGATCAACTCTATGGTTCTGGGGATGTATAAGGCTAATGGAAGCGGAGAAGCACAACCATTTCTTAGAGACCAAAGGAAAACATTTCCACTGGTCTTCTATAAAGAATGCTGGATAATACAAACAAAAACTTCTTTTCATGAGCCTCAATGTAAGTAGATGGCACCTTGCTGACACAGCTGTAAAAGCAACTCAGTGTTATTAGTGGAATGTCAACTTTATAAAAGAATGTGAATTTATTTTTATGATTATTTCTTTTAATTTACATCCAAGTTAGTTAATGTATATTAAAAGGATGTGAATTTTTAAAAAGTTTTTTTCGAAGAAGAAATGCTCGATCTTATTTTAAAATAACAATTTCTTATATGTGGAAACTGTGTTGGGTTCATTGGAACAATCAGCAGTTTAAATCTGTTAAGTTTCTAGGAATTAATTTTTTTTTAAACTAAAATGAAGTCCTCTAGTCTCCAGAGAACTGAAAATGAATCATTAAGAACCAAATTTTTGACAGGCCAATTATGTTTTGTTTTTTTTTTCATTTATTCGAACTTTACTGTTTTTACTCAGTTGGCCACATTCAGAATAATTGTTAAATAGGACCATATTTTACTCCTTTATAATAAATATTAATTTACATTGCAAGTGACTGATACAATTTCAACCAACAGTGCCCCCGAGAAGATATTCACTGCACTGTTATCTAGCATATTGCCTATATTTGATGATGACTTCAGGAAAGGCCAAGTATGTTCTTATAAAAACACGAAACAGAATTGTGTTGCTGCAAAAAAAAGCTCAGGAATCACACTATGTCCCTAGTTTTACCTTGAATTCAGGGTAGAACCTTTCCTTCCCCGAACTGAATCAATACTCCTCTAACTGCAACTCTGAAATATGGACTGTCAAGAGCTCCATATCATTCTGATTACTACTACTGGCTCAAAATTATTGGCTCTGAATACTACTACTACTAGCTCAAAGTTAGATCCAATGACACTGATTCAGTAACCTACTGCAAGAAACAACACCAAAAGACAACCACACTGGCGAATGTGGCTAAACATGCATACGCACAAAAACACATCCATTCACAAAGTATTTATTACCTCTCTACTGGGTAACAGGTAATAATGCACAAAAGGAGCAGTGAATAGAAGCTGCAGCTTACCTACCAATGTTTAAGCACTGCTATTTTCATGAAGAGCAACAATATTAATCACTAATGAAGTAACTTACTATGTTAACATACTAAGAAACATATTATACCAGGCACTGTACCATAAGCACTTTGTATGTGTTTTTTCATTTCATCCTCATAAGATCCTCAACTTCAGATAGGAATACTCATATTTATGACAGCTTTACCAAGATACAATTCACACACCATAGCATTCACCGCTTTAAAGTGTACAGCTCAGGAATTTTTAATACATTCTCAATGTTGTACAACCATCACCACCACCTGATTTCAGAACATTTTTATTACCTCAGAAAGAAATCCTGTACCTGTTAGCAATCACTCCCCATCCCCTCCTCCCTCTATCTAGCTCCTGGTAACTATTAATCTACTTTGTCTTTACAGATTTGCCTATTCTGCGCATTTCAAAAAATGGAATCATATAATTTGTGGTATTTTGTGTCTAGTTTCTTTCATTTAGCATAACGTTTTCAAGGAGTACTTCACCCAGTTTCATGGTTGAATATCCATTGTATGGGCACACCATATTTTGTTTATATACATCAGTTAATAGACATTTGCATTGTTTCCACATTTTGGCTACTATGAATAACACTACAATGAATGCTCATGTACAGGTTTTTGTGTGAACATATGCCTTCCGTACTCTTGGTAATATCTGTATACTATGCATGTTTTATAACGGAAAAATCACTGTTGGATAGTATGCTTGGAGTAACTGACAAGATTGGTGCCATCCGACTCTGCAATGGTCAGGCCAACCCCAGGGCCCTGTTCTTAGTCCCATCTACCAAACTTTAAGATAGATATAAACAAACAAAATATATATACATCTTCCAAGATGACAGACCAAGACGTGAACTGGCTCCAAATATCCCATGAAAAGACAGTGAAAGCACAGGAAACATTTTATTTAGAAAAGAGAAGACCCAGAGAAGGGCATGAAAACAATCTGCCCATATCCTGATACTTGATACATGGAAATGGCATTATCCTACTCAAACCCCAGAGTTTACAATTAGGCCTAGTTATGGGAATTACAAATGGACAGAGAAAAAATGGCCTAAGGAATGTCTGAATGGAAATTCAAAGACTGCCTAAGAGGGGACATTATAGAGACACTCGGAAAACTGGTTGGGGATTGGGCCACTTAATGTTTAAGGTCCTTTTAGATCAGGATTTATGATACTGGGATACTTTTGGACTCAGGAGTTTAATGCAGAACAGTAGCCAAATGATGGCCCCAACGCCTTTAAATATTTGCTAGATGGTGCAATATGTACACCCTCTAGTATCTCAAACTTATCATGGCCAAAATCACACCTTCCCCTCTCACAATGCTCTTGCCCTGGGATTTCTTTACTCAATCAATAACATGACTCTCCTCAAATGTTACATAAGAGTAAACACCACTTGTCTTGATTTTCTGGACTTCTCCCATTCTTCATATCTAATCGAACATGAAGTTCCTGCCATTACACTTCCACAGCATCTGTCATATCCAAGCCAAATGATCAAAACATGAAAGTGCAACAGTAACTGTTGTGAAGATGGCTGCAGCGCAAGCGATGTCACTGTGAGGAAAGAAAGCACGATCTCCCCCGCCCCCATGGCCCTGGTGGTTAACCCGAGGGCACAGCTTACTAAAAAGCAGAGCTAAAAGAATAAAGCAATGAGTTACACTCCAAGACCAATTCACAAATCTTTACAGAGTGAAAAAGAGACAACTGGCCAAACAATCACACTGATAAAGGATCTCCTATCTAAGATCAAAGGGAGTTCTTTACTCAGTCCTGTGACCTGCTACAAAATCAACAGATTGCTTCCGGGTTCTTCTGCACATAAGTCAACCCAAAGAATCATATATTACTTGAACAGCCAATTTTCAATTCTTAGCTTACTTCACTTCTCAGTAGCATCTGAGATGGTTCCTTTGCATAAATATGGTAGGAAAGTGAACCTCTGAAAATGCTAGCCAACTGCAATCCTCCAGTGCCTTCCCATTTCACTCAGAGTACAAGCCAAAGTCCTCACCTTGATTTAAAAGGCCCTTGTTCCCTGACGCCATCTCCTGCTCTCTCTCCATTGCCCACTCTAATTCTAGCCACACCAGCCTCCCTGTAGTTTTCTGACAATCACAAGCATGTGCTCACTTTCAGAACTTTTCATTTGTTGCTCCCTCTGCCAAGAACACTCTCTCCCTGTGAATTTCACATGGATTATGCCCCTACTTCATTCAGATCTCTGATAAGTCTTACCTCAAACAGGCCTTCCACCCCATCTAAATAGCACAAGGACAAACACACATCCCCATCACCCTCTAGTCTCTTACTTATCCTGCTTTGCACTGTCTTCTACAAACCCAGATCCAACATATAGATGTATTTGTCAGTTCACTTTTTACCTCCCCCAACCAGAATATTATTAATTCATTCAGAAAAAATGAAATACTTTGTTCAATACCATATCCTTAGTACTTAGAATATAGTCTGGATGTATGAGATACTCCATAACAATTTGTTCCATGAATGAATGAAAGAATGAATGAACACCTTGAAGATGATAATTTCCTCCCACCCCTGGCAAAAATCAATCTGATCTTTCTGTATATCTATGATAGAACCACGATCCCAAGATCAAATATGGCTCAACCTTGCCAGGTATCAGCTTTTTCAAGGGAGATATGAGACAAAGTATGATCAGTACTAGTTGAGATGGCCATGTCATGTTTCAAAGCTCAGTCTTATTTCATCAGTATTTTAAATCATATATAGAAATGAACTAGGTCAAGTAGGAGAAATGAGGGGAAAGAAACACCATGAGTCAATAATGCAGAAGCAAGGGGCTGCCTGGTGTACCTGGAGGAACTTCAAGTACAGAGAAAAGCATATCATGAGAGATATAGCTAGACAGGTGGGAAAGATTTTTAACAGGTAATTTTAGAAATGCCATTCCCACAGACAAGACCGGCATTTACAGGGCCCAGTACAAATGAAAATATGGAGCCTTCCTGTTCAAAAATTGAAAGACTCTAAATGCCAACAGCAGAGCATTAATCTAAGTGCAAATCCTTGTGTGAGTACACAGGTCACATGCCCACCACACCGTGACCTCTGAATTGGGCTGGTGTGGTGAAAGTCAAGGAGCCTGTGACAATCATCCAAGTGGGAGACAAGGTACTGCACTAAAGCAGAAGCAAGGTTAGAAGACATTCTGCCCCTTGAGAGAACACCTTTGAGACACGGAGACTGAGGGGACCCCACAAAGACCGCTTTTTTGCCACTGCTTTTCTTCTCAAGACCTAAACCCCTCCCTTACGTATGCCTTAATATGCCCTCTTTAGAAAGGTCAAGGACTTAATGATTTCTTTGACGTCTTCTAGCACA